CATGGAGTCCAATTTGTGTTGCCAGTATGGTTTTTCATAGGACCGTTTCTCTACTAGAGAGCTGTTTAAAGCATTTACACATGGTATGAATGAGAACTATAGATACAATGCTAAAATATCTCCTGGCCATCCACTGGAGCATGAACAACAGTCCAGAGAACACACCCTTAAAGAAAATAGACTCTCCCTCTTCTAGAAGCCATCCGCTGTCAATAAGCTGAGGACTGTAAACTTTAGCCTAAAAGTGAGGATGCACTTCCAGAATGCTATAAACATAAGTGTCTTATGAGTCTGCTCTTAATCGTTTTTTTGAGACAGGGTCTCGTTATGCAGACCAGGAAGGCCTCAAACTCACAGAGGTCCACCTGTCTCTGCCTCCCACATGCTGGGGTTAAAGGCTGCGTAATTATGCACAGCTGGTTCAGAGATTTGTGTGCTTGCTCTCGCAGAGGACCTGGGTTTGAGTCCCAGCATCCATGTGGTGGCTCACAATCATATCTAACTTGTAATTCTAGTTCCAAGGAATCTGATGCCTTCTGATCTCCATAGGCATGAGGCATGAATGTGGTGCACATACACACATGTAGACAAAACACCCATATACATAAAATGAATCTAAAAAAGTTAAAAATATTTAAAAGAAGAAAACCCAATTAAATACAAGTATTTATGACTTTATTGTGAGATTCCAAGGAATTTAAATGAGTGCCCTGTGGTGATATTTTATATGTGCTGAAATGTGATATTTTATTTGTATGTTAATAAATAAAGTTTGCCTGGAGATCAGAGGTCATAGCCAGCCGCAAACAAAAGTCAGGCAGTGGTAATCCTTAATCCAATCACATGGCAGGCAGAGTCTCTGTGTGGTCAAGGACACAGCCAAGTGTGGTGACACATGCCTTTGATCCCAGTACCAACCATAGAGACCTGGAGGTCTGTATAGACAGGCAGTGATGAGGAAGTGATGTGGCTAGGCTTAGAGCCAATAAGAAGGCAGAACAGGAAGGCAATGAAGGCACAGGTTAGACAGGAAGAAGCTCTCTTGGGAAGCTACGACAAGGTGGTAAACTAAGGCTAGTTGGCCGCTATTGCTCTAATCTCTATGGTTTATACCTCTGTATTTGGCTCCGTGTTTCTTATTTAATAAGACTGTTTAGAAATTCGTCTACAGTGTCTGAGCAGGCAAGGCAATCAACCACCAAGCTACATCTCAAGACTTTGACAAAATTTAAACAGACTTTTTTTTTTTCCAGAGAAGATAAACTGTGGGAGAGAGAAGGTGTTGTTTTTAAGATTCTACTTGCTTCAAGGGATTCGAAACTATCACAGTGGAAATGGAGAGGAGGCTCGGGGCTATCTCAACTGGGCGCGCCAGCTCTTTAAAGAGCTGTACATCGATCCGTCAAAAGTTCACAACTTGCTGAAGTTGGGGTTCACTGTACATGAAAAGATGCTCAACACCATTAGTCTTTGGGGAAATGCAAATCAAACCACAAGGAGATGTCACTTGGCACATACTAGGATGCTATAGTAATAAAAGATGAATAATATTACTGTCAGAAAGGACACAGAGGAATCAGAAGCCTCACACTGTGCTGGTGGGAATGTAAATGCTGTGTGCACTTTGGAAAACAATTTGGCAGTTTCTCAAAATGTTAAACTCAGGGTTCTGATATGAGTTTACATTTCCTGTCCTTGGCATTTTCATTTGAAACACGTCATGATATAAAGTCTAACGCACAAATGCTCCTAGAAGCATTATTCACAATAACCAAGAAGTGGAACAAATATCCACCAGCTGGCAAACATGATGACAAAATGTGCCATGGCCACACAAGGGGATGCGTGGCAAGAACAAGAAATGGAGGGCTGACATACCATAGTCATGGCAACAGTCAGTGTTCGGCACATTGAAAGAAATCAGTTGCATGTTTTATTCTCCACATGTGAAATGTCCGGAATAAGCAAGATCTTATAGAAACATAAAGTGTGATTGTCTCATTCCAGGAGGGAAGGAGAAGTGAGGAGTGATTGCTCACAGCTTCAGGCTTTCATTTTTGGTGTAATAAAAAAGTTCTGAAACAGATCATAGCAATTATAGCTCTATAAAATATATTAAAAACCATTGCTCCCCCCATCGCCTTGGTTCTAAGGAGGCAACTCTTAAAAAAAGAAAGCATTTAACTAGGGGCTTGCTTACAGTCTCAGAGGGTTAGTCCATTATCATCATGGCAGGGAGCATGGCGGCATGCAGGCAGACAATGAGGTGGAGAAAGAGCTGAGAGCTACATCCTGGTCCATGGGAAGCAGGAAGAGAGAAACACAGCCTGGGATAGGCAGTATAAACCTCAAAGCCCACCCCAGTGACACACCTCCTCCAACAAGGCCACACTTCCTAATCCTTCCCTAAATAGTCCATCAACTAGGGAGTAGACATTCAAATATATGAGCCTTTGAGGGCCATTTTCATTCAAACCACCACAACAGCAATAGAAAGGAAATTAGAACACAGCCCCAGCTAAAATCTGTCCCTACTTACCGTGATGCACAGCTGTAATTACAGCACTCAGGAGGTCGAGGCAGGAGGATGCCAGTTTCAGGCCAGCCAGGAATATAGAATGAGACTTTGCTTTTAAAAAGGACTAAAAAATTAAAACAGTGAATCTTGACTCTTTGAAAAAATGTTTTTAACTTGAATTTTTTTCTTTGACAATATCACACATGTATAAAGTGCATTCTGATTAATGTAATCCCTCACTCCTATTAACCAACCTCCTTATGCACTTTCAAACTTTTTTTTTCCTTTTCTTTTCTCAAGACCCACTGAGTTTAGGCAGGATCATCTATGTGGCAATGAGTTTCCAACTACCCATGGAGCCTGGTGGGTATTCAGTGGGTACTCAATTGAAGAAATGAGTATTTCTCTCCTAGAATACCCCAGAAGCCAATACATTAGCATGCAGAGGTAGAGCACAGATTTCTTCCCAATCCCAATCAAAATGCCCAGTATTGTGTAGGTTTGTTGCAAGCGGTTACTACTACTCTGGGGTCCAAACTGCATTGGCTGGGTCATACCAAGACAATGTGTACACACACACACACACACACACACACACACACACACACACACGAGAAGGGATCTCTCTACACATACACACACACACACACACACACACACACACACACACGAGAAGGGATCTCTCTACACATACACACACACACACACACACACACACGCACGCATGCACGCACGCATGCACGCATACACACACAGGAGAAGAGATCTCTCTACACACACACACACACACAGGAGAAGGGATCTCTCTACATACACACTCACGCACACACACACAGGAGAAGGGATCTCTCTACACACTACACACACACACACACACACACACACAGGAGAAGGGATCTCTCTACACACACACTCACGCACACACACACAGGAGAGGGATCTCTCTACACACTACACACACACACACACACACACACAGGAGAAGGGATCTCTCTCTA